CTGCCCCACACCCCAGCAGATCCAAACTGCATGTAGGAGTTTTAATGATGCCTAGCAGGGACAGAAGCCTCTCCTACGTTCTGGGTATATGCAGTCTTTAATAGAGTGCAAGGCTGTAGCAATCTGAAGTTGAAGGGAAGGCATGAAAGATATAAGAAACAGAAATGGATTGGGTGGCTAACTAACGGCCTAAGCAGACTGCCAGAAATAGTGCACATTAAATTGAGGCACTGCCCTGGCTCAGTGCTAGGGAATCATGGGAATTGTATTTTTTTCTGAGGCATTGAACCTTCTCTGTCAGAGAGCTCTGGTGCCACAATAAATTACAGTTCCCATGATTCCCTAGCACTGAGCCAGGGCAGTGCCTCAATTTAATGTGCACTATTTCTGGCAGTCTGCTTAGGCCCTAAGTGAGAGGGAAGAAAGCCACTGTGAGTGGAAAGGAAACTGGACTGGATGAAGAAGCAGGATTTTAAGCCAATGGATCAAGAGGCAGAGCTCTGGGGAGAAGAACCACTTACTGCACCTGCATATCTTTTCCCAGGAGCCTTTGCTAACACCACCATGAGCAAAAAGGAAGCCGGATTGAGTGAGGAAGCAAGTCTTTGAGCCTGTGGAGCAGGAGGTGGAGCACTGGGAAGACAAGCAGTTCATCTACATATCTTTTCCAGCAGACTTTGCTGAAGCCATCATGAGCAGAAAAGAAGCTGGACTGGGTGAGGAAATAAACTGTTGAGCCAGCAGTGTGTGCCTTGTTGTGTGTGTACTTATATTCCAAAGAGTTACTACAGTCTAAAAAGGGGGAATAGTTAACTGCAGAGATGGAGGTAAAAGAATCTGTAGTCATCTGCTGGAAAGTGTATGCAGTGTTTGTTTTCTTGTTGGAAAATTTCTCTGACTGCACTTGCAGCAAGTGCAAACTAGTGACTCTCTTGGAAGAAAAGGTCAGCACACTTCAGCAACATATTGACACTCTCAGAGAACACATGGACTTTCTGGATAGAATATAGGGAGAATTGATTTTACAGAATCAACAAGGAGAAACTGCCAAGGAAAATGAAGAGGACTGTAACATTGAGCAAGCTCTCTAGAGAATACTCTAGGAGCAGACTATACACAAGGGATTCAGAATCACTCCAAATAAGCATCACTTCCTACATCTTCCTGAAGATAACAATGATGAAGAGGCCAAATAGAAGACCAGCAGCAAGAGGAAGGTGTCAACTTAATCACTAACTGCAGCAAGAAGAAAAGAAACGTCCTTGTGATAGAGGCTTTAGATGTATACTCAAATGCACAGAATTTGGAATACAAACAAGACTAGCTTGAGGTCCTAGTACTGGAAGGTTAAATATTACTTTTTTATAGGTATCATTTGTACAGAAAGCCACATGAAATATCAAATTCAACCAGCTGAGAGCATTTGGGTAAAAGCAAATGGAGAAAGAAATAAAAGCAACATTGCTGTAGGAGTTTACTACAAGCCACCAAACTAAGACAAGATGGTGGATGGTTCTTTTCTGAAACAAATCTCAGAAATTTCCAAGATACAATAACTGGTAGGTATGGGGAACTTCAGTTATCCTACTATCTGTTGGGAGACTAACTCAGCTAAGTATGGGTTCTCCAACAAATTTCTTATGTGCTTTGCAGATAATTTCCTTTTACAAGGAACAAGGGGATCAGCAATTCTGGGTTTGAACTTAACCAACAGAGAAGAGTTGGTCAGTGCAATCAAACCAGTTGGTACTTTAGGGGGAAATGACCATGTATGCTAGAATTCAAGACTGTGTGACAGGCCAAAGACCAGTATAGTCAAATACAGTTGCCCCTCCGTTCTCGCGGACTTGAGGTCCGCAGTTTTGAATATTCACGGAGCAGCAACCTCCATTAAAATCAATGGGGCACGCCTATGGGGTTGAATATCGGCGAGTCTCCTTTTTTGCGGGTGGTGGTGGTCCGGAACAGATCCCCTGTGAAAAGAGAGGGCCGATTGTATCAACCTTGGCTTTCAGGAAAGCTGATTTTATCAAGCTTAGGTAAATATTGGGTAGAAACCCATGGCTAGAGATGCTAAAGGAAAAAGACACCCAGTATTGATGTGATTTTATGAAGAAGGAGCTGCCCTTACCAAAAATCATAGTTTCACACCTAACAAAGCCATATGATAAAATAAAAATAAAGAAATATAAACTATTCAATTTGATCTGACAACATTATTGCAACATATAGGCAAAAGTGTTTGAAAACATGATCTGGCATGGTTCTAAGCACAGACCAGGGAGTAAGACTCCTTGGACTCAATGCAGCTTGGTTCTGAAGGACACATGTCTATAATTGCACTCTTTTGCAACCCTACACATGTTTATCAGGGAGCAAGCCTCACTGAATGTGTATATGACTTTTCTGTTATTTTGCATTTTGAAAGTCCAGGAACTACGTATCTTTAAAACAGAGAACAAGTTTAAAGGCTTTTACAGCTGAGTTTAAATGTACAAGTTATACAAGTAGAAACAGAGGCAATGGCACATATAACCACAAAGGTAGACTAACACTTGAGACAGAATTTCTTGTCTAAATAATCAAGGTGAATGTTTACCTGCAACAAACATTTCAGTTATACAGCAATTTATTTTATTGGAAAGTGTCAACTGAACACTCAGTGACATAGTTACTTAATAAATAATAATAATAATAATAATTTTTATTTATATACCGCCCTATGGCGAACCAATCCGGGCGGTGAACAGAGTAAAATGCAATATGCAATGTCTACAATCTAAAACACAGCAATCCCCCCTCCCCCCTTAAAAAACTATTAAATCAGTTTATTTACTTCCCCCTTAATAAAAAAAACACAAGTGCAGTACTTCACATTTCGTGATTTATTGCTTGTTTATCAATTTATAAGACTGTATAATCCAAATGTTTTACATGAAACAGTTCTAGGATACAACAATCTACTTCAACTGGCATTAGCTCTCCTCACTTTCAGATAAGAGGTGTTAAAAGACACCTTTTTCACTTGAGATCCAGTGATTGAATTGCAGTAATTTTGCATGCAAAATATATCTCCCCACCACTGAGCTTCACCCATCTAGAAAGTGGTGAACAATGTATTTGAAAGCCCTTAAGAAAGAAAGAAAAAGAAAAGAACTTACCAGCATTTCAGGTATAAGGCTGATAAGGAACTAAATTTCTTTGCTATTCCCAATGTGACATGGGGGGGGAGGGGTATTTATAAAGCAATTAATTTGAAAATTGGTATCAAGAACCACATTTTATTTTGTGCATATAGATTCCCAGCCATTAGAAGAAAGAAAAACACAGAACTTTAAGCTAGAGTTCAATACCATTAAGTTATTAAAGACAAACCTTCAGCCTATTAAACTAGAGCTGCATCCACATGGTAGAAATAATCCTGTTTGACACCACTTTAACTTCCATGGCTCCATGCTGGGGAATTCTGGGAACTGTAGTCTATGTGAGACATGTAGCCTTCTCTGTCAGAGACAGCTCTGGTACCAGACAAAATACAGTTCTTAGGATTCCCTAGCTTTGAGCCGTGGCAATTAAAGGCTACATCCACATTGCAGGAATAATCCGGTGTGATACCGTTTTTAATTGCCATGGCTCCATGCTTGGGAATTCTGGGAATCATAGGGCCTTTACAGACTGCCAGAAATAATGCAGCTTGAGGCCACTTCAACGTCCTTGGCTCAGTGCTAAGGAATCATGGGAATTGTAGCTTTTTCTGAGGCATTGAACCTTTTCTGTCAGAGAGCTCTGGTGCCACAATAAACTACAGTTCCCATGATTCCCTAGCACTGAGTCAGGGCAGTTAAAGTGGCCTCAAGCTGCATTATTTCTGGCACTCTGTAAAGGCCCGTATTTTGTTGTGAGCCCAGAGCGGAGCGAAATTCCCAAGTATGGAGCCATGGCAATTAAAAGCGGTGTCAAACCGGATTATTTCTCCAGCGTGGAGCCTCCCGGGTGCCACGTCCCCGCTTTCCTCCGCCACTCACCACCTCTCGGGCCCGTCCGGCGAAGTCGCTCCTGGTCCGGGGACTACCTCCGCGCTTGAGAAGGAGGAGGGCGTCGTCGCTTCCGCCTCCCAGAGGGACCCCGAGCGCCTTGTTCCGGGTTTTCACCGTCTTCACGCTGGCCTTGAACAGGAGCGTGATGTCCACCGCCATTTTGGAAGGGGAACGCCACTCCAGACGGACCACGTCTAGGCCACGCCCCCTCCGCGTCCGTTCCCGAAAGCCTTCCCCTCGGAAAATGGGCCGCGCGAGAGGGTTCCGCCTGAAAACAGCGCCGTTTAAACTTTAAAACCCTTTAAATGTTGGAAGGGTTTTTCTGCACTGTGGCCCTTTTCCTGGGTTCTTTGGATCCCTTCCTTCATTATCTGTTAATCACCAGCCCCTTCTATATAACTTATAATTGTCAAAGTAACCATTTGTAAGACAATAAGTAGAAAATAACTAGACAATTGTGTGCCTTCAAGCCCTTTCTGACTTATGGTGACCCTAAGGCTATAAATGTAAGGGCATGTCTTACATTTCAACCTTCTGTCCAGGAGAAATGTCAAAATGTCCTCCATTTTGAGCAGGACTAAGAAGCATAGATTGAGATTTATGACACTATCATGGGGTTTTCCTGTCAAGATTTGTTCAGAAAGAGGTTTGCCATTGCCTTCCCCTGAGGCTGAGAGAGTGTGACTTGCTCAAGGTGACTCAGTGGGTTCCATGACTGAGCCAGGACTCGAACCCTAGCCTCAGTCCAATGCTCAAACCACTAGGCCACACTGGCTCTCCAGGAACCATCTACCTCAATGTGTTGTTGTGTGCCTTCAGGTCGTTTCTGACTCATGGTGACCCTAAAGCAAAGCTTTCATGGCATTTTCTTGGCATAATTTGTTCAGAAGAGGTTTACCATTGCCTTCTCCTGAGGAGGCTGAGAGAGAGTGACTTCCCCAGAGGTCACCCAGTGGGTTTCCATGCCCAAACTGGGAATTGAACCCTGGTCCCCAGAGTTGTAGTCCATGCTCAAATCACTACACCACACTGGCACAAAAAGGAGGAGGAACATGAATATGTTTCAGCAGACTCTTGAGTCAGAACTAAAGATTCAGAACTGAAACTACTACTACACCATGCTGCCTCCATCTATTTCAATGTGTTGTTGTTGTTGTTGTAGTTGTACCTTCAGGTTATTTCTGACTTGTGGCGGCCATGACCCTATCATGGCAAGATTTGCTCAGAGGAGGTTCTGCCATTGCCTTCCTCGGAGGCTGGGAGTATGTGATTTGCCCAAGGGTGATCAGATGCCAACGTTCCCTCTCTTAGGATGCGTAAAATTGGCCAGGTACGTTGGGATGACCACCACCACCCCTGCCACCATCGCTTGATCTTCTGAGAGGGCCACAAGGTCTATTGGGCTCTGGAGTTTAGGATTCGAATCCCTGCTCGGCCATGGAAACCCACTGGGCCACCGTGAGCAAGTCACAGTCTCTTGCCACATTCCAGCACTATACTCTTAAAGTGCTGCTATTCCAATATCACCACCCTGTCTGCCTCCTGTTGCATTTTGAGATTTGTAGTTCAGTGAGGCCTAAGAGCTCCCTGGCTGAGAATTCCAAATGCTCCTCCTTAAACTGCTGTTCCCAGAATGCAACAGGAGCCAGCCAGAGCACTAATAGTGGGATAGCAGCACTATAAGAGTGTAGTGCGGAAATGTGGATAGTCTCAGGGGAAGGCAATGGCAGAACCCCTCGGAACAAATCTTGGCAAGAAAACCCCAGGATAGGTTGCCTTGAGGCAGAAAAGAGTGGAAGGCACCCAACAAGAAGAGCCACTGTTTCTTCTTCCTCCCACAGTTGTCTTTAAAAAGCCTGAAACTGTTTTTTCTCCTGACCCCCTAACAAAAAATAAGGTTTTGTGACCTCCTATTTTCACAAAATGTGTGTTTGTGAGGATGACCAGAGGTCCTCTTTTCCCAGGACATGCCTTACATATCAACCTTCTGTCCAGGAGGAATGTCGAAATGTTTTCCAGTTTGAGAAGGACTAAGAAGCATTAATTGATATTTATGAAACCTAACTAAAGGTTTTTTTT